TAAAATTTGCACTTTGCGAGCAACTTTCACGGGCGTTACTGTATAACCCACAGAATGGTTCACAGAGACCTTTTAAGATCGAAATCTGACGAGAAAATAAATCTTATTTACAACAATATATTCTTGAACAGAGCAAGCCCGGGTCATTGCGAGCCAAGCCCGGGTCATTGCGAGCCAAGCCCGGGTCAATGCGAGCCAAGCCCGGGTCATTGCGAGCCAAGCCCGGGTCATTGTGTTTGTATGGAAAATTCTACAGCCTGAGCACCTTAGATCTCGGGTCAGTCAAGGCGGGATCTCGCTTAGGCTGGCCAGTTCGGTTCCCATATAAACGCCAAATGAAATTTAATAGGACGTAATAACAAAAGCAAGATTTCACACAAACCAGGCCAGCTTGGGTACCCGGGCTGGCTTGCCCCATCTCTCATAAGGGCATTTGATGTTTTAATCTGATCATGCAGCCAAACACATCTCCAATTACACAGTACAACTCAAGCTGTAAGCACGTTGCATGCAACAGTTTTAAGCCAGGTTTCCATATATGGTTGTAACAGTCATAAAAGATAAAGTTACGATCTTTCTCATCAGCCAGATTATAATAGTTTTTAAGTGTAAACTACATTTAAATCATACATATTCTCTATATATTATCACTTTGCCTATTTTCAGTTGTGAGAGATCGTGACTCAATCTTTACGACCGTTACGACCATATGGAAACCAAGCTTTGGGCAAAAGTTGTGTAGTGTAAATTGGCCTTCAGACACATAATGCAACACCAAAAAATTTCAGTTATACACTTGATAGTCCGTGTGTTGTGACATGAAAAAGTGCCTAGAAAACGATTTTTATTAAGCATGTCTTAAATCTGAAATATTTTTAAGGGAACTAACACTTTCGAACACGCTGAGTTCAAATCCGAAACGTTCCCACTCCGTAGACCCGCAGTTCTCTCACAAACTGCTATTTTATCTCACTAATTTCACAGCAAATGTTTTCATTGTTCAACGACACGGATCGATGACGATACACGGTTTTGTGACTCAAAAGGACCAATTTCTATTCACCAGTCTTCCTTTTAACAAAAGACCGGTTTTGCTCGAATCACTTTGAGTTATGCAATCTTACGCGTGTTGGACGTAAACAACATATCTTGTCTACAACTTTGAGAAGGTACAGATAATTCCTTCTAAAATCAAGGATAATTCAATTGATATTGCTATATATCTTGATAAATTTATCTATATATGATGTTGAGATCATCAAGACTGGTTTAGATAGATAGATAGATAGATAGATAGATAGATAGATAGATAGATAGATAGATAGATAGATAAACTTTACTTAAACACGCTGACCCCGTCAACCGAAGCTGATTTCCACGAGGGGCGTGCGAAAAATATACAGAAAAGAATTTTAAAACTATTTACAAAATTATATAAGATATATAGTATTATATGAACTAACAAACTAAGGTAGCAATCTATATACAGGTAATATTAACATCTATGTTAATTAGCTATCAATCAATGTGAGTAGTGATTTTCTTTCGAAAGGAAGAAAAGGATTTGCTCTCTCTTATTTCTTTAGGAATAGAATTCCAAAGGTGTGCTCCGTCATACACGAAACTTTTTTTCGTATTATTAGTACGTGGTTGTGATAAACTAAGACTACTTGAAATGTTCCGAAGTTTGTAGTTTGTCACCTCACCCTTACTGTATATGTGAAGAGATTACTGAGTGATTTGGGTCCCATTTTATTCAATAATTTGTACATGATTTTTGCTTCACATTTCTTCCTCTCTGTTTTAAGTGGCTTCCAACCCAATGCTTGCAATGCAACAGAGTGATCTATGTCATTGCTCATATTCAAAATAATCCGAGCAGCGCTGTTTTGTAGTTTTTGGAGTCTTTTTGATTGCGTTTCTCCAAACACATCCCATACTTCACAGCAGTAATCAAAATATGGGCGAACAATAGCATTATATCCAGAAAGAAGTGTTTGCTTATCAGCAAATTCTTTTAAACGCCTAAGAGCCGATATTTCAGATGTAATTTTCTTGCAAATATTCTCAGTGTTAGTTTTCCAAGATAAATGCTGGTCAATTGTCACTCCAAGAATTTTGGATTCATAAACTTGTTTAATTGACTCGTTTTCAATTTTCACATTTAGTTGCAAATTTGAAATATTTTTATCATTTGTTTTGAACCAATTAACATAAACTCAGTCTTAGCAACATTTAGACTAAGTTTATTGGCAATTAGCCATTTCCTAAGTTTTTCCAAATCAGAATTCACTGCAGTTTCAAGATCAGTAATAGAGTTTCCAGAAACTGTCAGGTTCGTATCGTCAGCAAACAACCGAGGTTTTGTTTTATCCAGGCATTGAAGCAAATCGTTAATATATAACAGAAAAAATAGGGGCCCTAAAATAGAGCCTTGTGGTACGCCACATTTGATCAATTTCACCGATGAAACAGGTCCTTGTATTTGGCATTTTTTGTTTCTATTTGAGAGATATGATTCTAGAAAAGACAGAGCTTGTCCTTTTTTCCGTAAAGCTCTAATTTTTTCAATAATATTTGATGGTCGACAGTATCAAATGCTTTTTTTTAAGTCAATTAAGACTACCAGGTTAAACATTTTGCGGTCTAAATTCATATACCAATCATTTGTACAGTCAAGTAATGCTGTAGCTGTAGAATGAAATTTAAGAAAACCGAATTGACAGTCACTCAGAAGTTCAAATTTGGTTAAATAATTGTATAGCTGATCATACAGAATTCGTTCCATAATTTTGCTAATGACAGGCAGAACTGGAATTGGTCTGTAATTTCCTGGCAGGTTTCGTTGGCCATTTTTCTAGAGAGGTATTACTCTAGCCGTTTTCCATTCGTGAGGGAAAAGGGATAGGATAGTAGCTTGATTGAAAATATATGTGAGTGAATCTGAAATAGCAGGTGCAGCTATTTTAATAATTTTACTGGAGATCTTATCAACGCCAGTGGCTTTGTTGCTAGAAAGACCATGTAAAAGATGGTAGACATTGCTGACAGTGACTGGCTGGAATGCACTGAATTCTGATTTAGCCTTTTCAATATACTGTATGTTTGAAAGTTCAAATTTGGAGTATCAATTTTGCTAGCTAGATCAGGGCCAATATTTGAAAAATAATTATTAAAGCCCTCTGCAATATCTTTGGTATTTGTCAAACTATTTTCACCTAATTTTAACTCATTTACTACTGTTGGTTTGCTTTGCCTACCTAGTATATCGTTTATAGTTTTCCAAGCCTCTTTAGGGTTACATTTTTTATCAGAAATTTTAGTGGAGTAATAAATTTTTTTAGCATTTCTTAGCTGAATATTAACTTTGTTTCTCGTTGTTTTGTAATTTAACCAGTCTATCTCTAGGTTTGTAATAATGGCCTTTCTTTTTAATCTGTCCCTTGTGATTATAAGTTGCTTTAGAGCACTTGTAATCCAAGGAACTTTTTTTGTTCTAATCTTTTTATGTTGAAGTGGTGCATGGTTATCCAAGACCACTAAGAATAATTTCTTCCAAATTTCCCACATAGCGTTGGGATCTTCAGCGAAGAAGTATACATTTTCCCAGGGTTGTTGCCTCAGATCCTCAACAAATTTTTGATGATCAAATTTTTTCATATTTCTTATCTCAACTTTCTTCTCTTGCTTTTTAACAACAGAAATTTTCCTTATTGCAAATACCAAACTATGGTCACTTAATCCAGTATGGATAACACCAGAGTCAGAATGGTGTATTGGTGACTATATGATCAATAAGACTAAAGGTTGTCATAGTTACTCGGGTAGCTTCATCAATCAATTGTGACAATTGATACAACTCATACAATGTTTTGATTTCCTTTGTTGGAGAATTTGAATCTTTGTCTGTTTTAAGCATATCACAGTTTAGATCACCCAGAATATACATTTCTTTATTTTCATCATCAATGGCTTTAATTAATTTTTCAAAATGATCAAAGAATTCAGATGATGATTGGGTGGTCTATAAATGGTTGTAACAAGAAATGGTCGACTGTGTGGCTTAATAATCTCTACACAGACAGCCTCCAATTCAGAGGGAATTAGATCTTGTCTTATAATATAGTTGACGAAGCTACGCAAGTAGATACAAACTCCACCTCCATTTCTTGATCTGTCTTTTCTAATAATATCATAATCATTAAGGTGAATCATACCATTAGTTATACTTGAGTCAAGGCGAGTCTCATTGAAAGCAATAAGATCAATTAATTTGTTTGACATTGAATATCTTACTTCATCAATTTTTTTTTTGGCAAACTAACAATGTTAAGAAAAGCCATTTTAAAACCTCTTTCATTGGAAATGGAATTAAGGCTAGTGAAAAAATCGCTACTCACATTGTTTACGTAAATAGGACTATCTAATTCTTCATTATTTGATTCACATATTTCAAGTACATTGTCCATTCTCTGTTCGGATGTCCATGAACTTGATGAAAAAACTGCCTGTTATTACCTACTCTAAACGATTTCAGATATGTGCAGAAAACACTCCCTAGCACCCTATCACCTTGTTTTTTAAGTGCAAATTAGAGCGATTTAGTAACGACCTGTCAATGTGGTCATTATCTAAAAATGCATGTGGTATTATGTTTCATGCATAAGTTTTTAACAAAGATATTAAAACGAGTTATCTTGCTAGCAGGAACTCGGTTTGTGTGGCCGGATTAAAAAACTTTATCATACTAATGTACAGAAAAATAGAAGCTGTGAGTACAACATCGGCTGTCGCATTGGGTGAAGGAGAAAATACTTGGCTGCAAGAATACCACACACGAAGAAGGGAGTCAGTACTTTTCAAGTTAATCGAGTCTTTCTGTCTGGGGATGTTCATACAAATCCAGGACTAGTGTAAAGAAAGCCCCAAAGTATCCATGCAAGGAATGTGGTAAAAACGTAAGAAATAACCAAAATGCTATTCTCTGTGCTGTGTGTAATATGTGGTCTCATGCTAAATGTCTTGACATGAGTACAAGTGCGTTTAAGTATTATCTTCAAAACCCTAAATTAAATTGGGAATGTAACTGGTGCTCACTTCCATTTAATGAATTATCAGAAGGTGAACTTGTCCTAGAACTTGAAACTGAAAATATTATAAGCCGGCAAGAGTCTGACACGGAATTAGGGATAAACACAAATCAAGGATTTATAAACCCTTCTGACAATCTAAACACAAAATCAATAATTGATGAAAGACAGACTGATTCAAGCGAGGCACTTATAGTACACCTCAATATTAACAGTATCCAAAACAAGTTTGAAGAGTTAAAAACCTTAAACGAGAAGCTTAAAGCACATGTAATAGCAATCTCTGAGACTAAAATCGACAGCTCGTATCCTAGCAATCAGTTTGCTATTGAGGGTTATAACATTTATCGCAAAGATAGGAAGAAAGGCGGAGGCGGTTTGATTGTATATTTTTCGATGTGTTTACCCTCACAAAAGATAGCGTTACCAAAGGTTTTTAAAACTTTTGAGGCAATAGCTGTTGAAACAAGAATAGGAACTAAGGATATTATGTTCTTAGTCATGTATAGACCACCTAAATAGACAAGCAAAAGAAATGATAAGCAATCTAAATATTATGAAACGGTTGAGCAGGAAATTAATGACATAGTTATGTGGACCTCACTTAAGAAACAATTTGTAATTGTCATGGGAGATCTTAATATGGATAGATTAAAGCCTAATGATTGAGAAGGGAAAATACTTAAAGATTTGGAGGAGGTTAATAATTTACAGTGCATGATAACTGAGCCTACAAGAATAACAATGAATTCTCAAACTTTACTTGATGTTCTGTTGACAAATTCGCCAGAGCTTTTTAGGAAATGTGGGACGTATAATCCTGATATCAGTGATCATTACCTTATATATGGAATTATGTCTCAGAAAATACGTAAACATGAACCTAAAGTTATAACATTTAGAAGCATAAAAAATATTATTATACATTTAATATGTATTCTCGTTTCTAATTGGTCAGAAAGCACCGGCTAATTTTCAGTATTCGGCATTTATTACGTATTTTCCGCCGATGACGTCATCAGCGTCCAATAATTGTTTTTTTGGATCGAACTTGCATCCAAAAAAAAAAATTATTGGACTCTCTCGTGCCCAAACCCTTGCGCGGCCAAAAGCTTGAACCTGTAAGCGCGCGAAAAAAACAAACAAACAATGGCCGACAGCAGATTTGCTTCGCTGAATGAAAGTGAACTCTCCAAATTATTGGCAGATAAGGATAGTGAAAGCACGAAAAAAGCCACAAAGGGGTAAATAGAAGTAGAAATAGAATATTTAGCTGACCTTAATTTGACTTTGTGCAAGGTGTTTGATATTCAAATTGTACTTTTCCTACCTCATGAACAGGAATCGTTTTATACTTTTCTCATGTCTTTAAATGTGTAATAAAACAATTATTGGATTCGGCTTTCGCATGATATCAAGAATTATTCAGACCTCGGTCTATGTTATCCGCCTCAGCTTCGCTTCGGCAGATAACATTGACCTCGGTCTGAATAATTCTTGATATCATGCTCAGCCTCATCCAATAATTGCTTATTAATGTAGCAGAAGTTTTCGATGATATATAGATGATAAATATGTTTATTGGAACGGATTACTTGAAAGTGTACTAAATGAACATGTACCACTCAGACGGAAAATAATACGTGATAAAGATATACCTTATATGACTATGGCTTGGAAAAAAGCAATCCGAAACAAGAGAAAATATGCTGTTCAATTCTCTAAAAACCGTACACAAGAAAATTTTGAACTGAAGAAGTATCGTAATATAGCTACAAGAGAGCGTAGAAAAGCAATTAAGCATTACTGGCGAAAAAAGTCAGAAGAACTAAACGAAAAACCATCAGAGTTCTATAAAACATTTCGGCCATTCCTCAACAACAAATCGACAAACTCCTCAGAAATAAGTCTAAGAAATGAAGATGGGAATATTATAACCGATCAATTGGAAGTTGCAGATTTACTTGCTAATTACTTTACTTATGCGGCAGCTAATGTGGGTGGAGATCACGTAAGAAATATAACAGAGAATGAATGCCATAACCACTACAGCGTGCAAAATATAAGGAATAATTATGAAAATATAAATTTCGATTTTAAAAGAGTTAAACAAGAAGAAGTTAAATCAGAACTTGACAATTTAAACACTAAAAAATCTTCAGGATGGAATTCGACTATGTCACCAAAATTGACGAAACTGATATCAGTAGGTATTACACCATCCCTGACAAAGCTCTATAATGAATGTATTGAAGAGAGCCAGTGGCCATTAGACTGGAAAAAGGGAGAATGGATTCCTGTTTTTAAAAAAGACAATAAACAAAAGAAGGAAAATTATAGACCCATTACTACACTTCTAACAGTTGATAAGATCTTTGAGAAGTTGATATGCACACAAGTAGTGGACAAGTATGATGATAGTTTATATAGTCGGATGACTGGATATAGGAATTAGAGACACAGTTGCGAAACGACTTTGCTGGGCTTAGTTGAAAATTGAAAAAAAGCTACTGATAATAAAGAAGTAGTGTGCATCCTATCAACCGACATGAGTAAAGCATTTGACTCCCTCAGCCATTCATTAACACTAAAAAAAATTGAAGCTTTTGGTTTTGGACATGCATCAATGAAACTAATGAGATCTTTCTTTGAGAATCGCACGAACAGAGTAAGGATAGGTAGCACTACAAGTACAGTACATGGAAAAAGATGGTAAGAGGCTGCCCTCAGGGGTCGTCATTTGGACCGCTTCTATGGAATTTATTCCAAAATGATATGCATTATCAGATAGAAAATGCTAATGTTTCTAAGTATGCGGACGACCACCAATTATATACTATGGGTAAAGATTTTAACGCTATTAGAGATAGTCTTCAGATAGAAGGGCAATGAGCTGCTGACTGGTACAAAGATAATTATCTTTTGGCAAATTCTGAAAAGTTTCAGGCTTTAGTCATCAATCCTAGAAATATAAACACTAATATGGAGAGCATCGATGTAAGCATAGATGGCAAGATGATCAAAACTACGGATCAAATGAGACTCCTAGGCGTAGACATTGATGAGAAAATGAATTTTAGTGTTCATATAAGCGAAATGTGTAAAAAAGTCAGTAGGAAGGTTGGGGTGCTTATGCGCCTGCGAAACATGATTCCCGAGTCTGCCAAACTGACTATTTACAAATCGAGTATATTACCTTACTTAAAGGCACAGTTCAGCCTGTTGAACGATGGTTTTTAAGGCGCATTTCAGCCCTTATAATTGAAAAAACTAACTAGGAAAATCAATTAAGCATAATTCAAGATCACCAAACTTAATGTTTTTAACATTTTAAAACATTTATATTGTTAAAAACATCGAGTTTACTGATTTTTAATTATGCTTAATTGATTTTCCTAGTTAGTTTTTTCAATTAAAAGGGCTCAAATGCGCCTTAAAAACCATCGTTCAAAAGGCTGAACTGTGCCTTTAACATATTGCCAATTAGTTTGGCACTTTTGCAAGTCATCAGACAGTAAGAAAGTTGAACGTATCCAAGAACGAGCTCTGAGAGCAGTTTATAGAACAAAATCGGAATCATATAACCTGTTAAAAAGAGCTCAAATACCTACATTAGAAAATAGGCGGTTGCAGGACATAGCCATTTTAATGTACAAGGTTAAAAACAAACTTTCGCCTGCAACTGTTACTGAGATTTTTACTTTCAAAAGTTCTAATTACAGTTTAAGAAATAGTGATTTCAATATACCTACTGTAAATACAGTAAAATATGGTAAGCACTCACTACGACACTTTGGACCTACTGTATGTCATGGTCTAAGCTACACAGTAGTTTGAGAAATTCACCTAGCTTAACTAGTTTTAAAAAGTCTATACGTAATATAGACTTACATGAACTAATTGAGAACAATGGCAACTGCTGTGATCTTTGCCAGGAATGGTTTTCTATTAATTTACATATATGTATACAAATAATATAGATTAGGTATTTTACTAGTATATAATTATTTAGCCTGAATAGTGTCACCAATTAGTTTAACTTTGTTAATTAGCTAAATACGTTAGACACTTAAAGGAACTATTTGTTCACCGAATAGTAATTTTATTGCTTTCCCTATTATATACATATATAGTTAGATTTACTATAGCTAATGAAATGATGACGTAACGCATGCAGCGAAATATTACGGGGAGAAGTTGCTACATTTGGGAATTTTACTCTGATGCTGCGTATAAAAGGCGCGAGTGTCAAGGTAAGGTTATTCTACCGAAGTCAGTCAGGATCAACACTTGTATACTTTCTTCCAAAGTTTTTTCAGGTTTGTGTGTTTCCTTTTATCTTATTTATCTTATTTATCCTCAAGAAATATGTCGGGTTTCATTCCTAATGTTTTGGTATTTGGCCATTCTTTTGTGAGCCGCTTAAATGACGATTTAAATCATGGTTTCGATTCCCTTTCCAAACAAAATTTTAACCTGGCCGATTCAGGCTTGTACGTATCTTTGAAGGGCACGGGCGGTCGAACTGTAGACAAAGTGTTTAAGTATGATATTTCCTTCTAAAACCGGATATCGTCGTTTTGGAAATAGGGACGAACGATTTGTAAAACCTTTCTCCGGAGGTGGTCGGTTCGCGGATAGACGATCTCGTACGCTATATGCGTGACGAGTTAACCATAAAGGTCATTGCCGTGTGCCAAGTTATAAATAGGCACGTTCCGCATTCCGATACACCGGACCATGCTTTTAATGCAAAAGCTTCTATTCTGCGACAGTATTTGTCTGTCGTTTTGGCGAATGAACGTGGCGTATTTCTTTGGGACCATCGTACAGTTGACAATGGTAGAATTGATTTGTTGTTTCCTGATGGGGTTCACTGCAACCCCCACGGACAGTATATCTTATACAGGAGTTATCGAGGAGCAATTTTTAAAGCTCTTTATATGTTGCACGATCGATATTTTACTTCATATTATTTGCAGTACTTGGATTTTTCCAAGGTTATTGTACTTATTAAATGTCATGTGCATATATTCAATAAAGTCATAAACGACATTAATACAAATCATACAAATGTGATATGATTATCAATTTATGGTGTAATTCCCGGGGCCCAAGGGTCTGTGTGAATATGTGTCTGGCCTGAGCAATTGCTGTTTGCAAATACCACATTGAGAATTGAGCAATTATATTTTCATGCGAAGGAAACATTCATGAATTTGTGGCTTCTGTTTTATATATATAGTGTGATGTGAGGTACCGTACTGTATATAGTTTATGTTGTGTACTTGGGGCGTTTTGTACAAATGTTAATTGTTTTGTCGTTCTGTTTGAATCAAACCACTGTACAGTATTGTCCTTGAATTTATGCACTTTTAGCATAAATTTAGGCCATAGTTTCTCGGTCATGGAAATATATGCCTACATGGGATAGGACCTAGGTGTTCAAATGCCCATAGTTCAATTCAATATATGTGGGACGGCGCGGCAAGTTGTTTTCAGATGGCCCAGTTATTAATTTGTTCGGCTACCTTTGTGGTATGCCATATTTAACAACAATCGTTTACTATAGAGTTGTAGATCAGTAGATGTTTGTTTGTTGTAAACTTTAAAATTGTGTTTGTTGTGGAACAGTGCCTGGTAATATATTGCCCTATCATGTGACAAGATATTATCAGTGGCTCGTAGTCTGCCCTGTTTGCAGTTTCTCTTTAGAAATAATGCCAAGACCAAGTACCCGCATCCACCGGCGTGCAGAGTAGCCTATGGCTGCTCGTCCGAGATCAACAAGAACTGAGCCACCAACCAATTGTTCAGGATCCAGGCCTAGCTCCACCCGTGAGTGCCAGGAACGACTCCTACAGTGCAAGGAACGACTCCTCCGGACCTTTCGGATTCCACCATTGCCAGAATTACTTCCGCAGTGACCCAGGCTGTTATGGAGTCTTTGCAAATGCCTCAACACAATCCTGTGACATTGCCTTTGGAATCTAACACGAGGGAGGTACCACTGCAGGGCATTTCTGTGGCTGACGCTCAAGGGCAGGGGCCAGTAGCTGCAGCCATGGAAAACCTTCCAGGTGATGTAGTACAATTGGGAGTAATTTGTCCACACCTCATGGCAAGTTCTGTTGGACCAGGTATATCTAATTTCAATTCTGTTAGTATTCCAATCGATGCCCAGGTCAGCCCCAAGATTAAGTTGAAGATTTGGGGCAACAAATTTATAGATTTTGGGTTACTTATAAACCCCCAAGTAGGCGATACCCGCTACCATTTTTCTCTCGGCATATCCGAGGGTTCAGTACCAACACTTGCTTTAGAACCCACTACAAAGGCTAAAGCTATTCACAACTTTGAGGTGTGGACGACTGCTTTTCAAGTATTTGTTGGGGTTTATACCAGCATGCACCCGTTGGAGGCCCCAGCACTTATGAAGTATGGTGAAGTGGTTCGGGATTTGGCTGCTCAGGCAGGTAATTGCCAATTCTATGACACCCAGTTTCGCTATTTGAAGCATACCCATGCCAACGAAATGCCCTGGGGATCCACCCATTGGGAATTAAGGATCCGGGCACAGAATTTTGCTAAGCCAAAACCAAAATCGCAAAGTTTCAGTCAGCGTGGGCTATTCGTACCTAAAGGGTTTTGCCGGAAGTTTCACCAGGGCCTTGGTTGCTCTGGCCATGCATTTTTAAGCATACTTGTTTTAGGTGTACAGGTGGGAAGAAACATCCTGCACACAGCTGTAATTTTCGTCCCTCCAGTTCAACTTCCAATTTTCGTCCCTCCGTTGCCACCGCCATTTTTCAACCCCTCAGTGTCAAACGAGCAGCCTTGTCCCGAGCTCCCAACTCCGGTCCTAATTGAACGAATGCTACCCTAGTTAGGTGGATATGATGTGCATGTTGTTTCTTTGTTACATAATGGTTTTACCTGGGGTTTTCCCCTACATTTTTCTGGTGAACGTATTTCTTTTTGTTCCAAAAATCTTTTAGGTAGTCAGTGTTTAACTTGACAAGGACCAGATGATCGTGATACGCGGAAAAGTACTGGCACTAGTTGTCAAATAGAAATCCATTTTATGATTAAAACAACTGAATATCTCCTGTAATATACTTTATTTCGATTCCATATTTTTGTCAGAGCTATAGTTCTCATAACCAAACATAATTACAAAATTTCAACTAGTTTCATCAAGAATAACGAAAGATATGATTGACTGGATACATCAAAATGGATTTCTATTCGGACAACCCTTTCTGAGCGCTGATTGGCTAAAATACGAACACGAGATCACCTGGGAGTTAACAGCTAATAGAATTGCTGGACCTATTTAAGAACCTCCTTTTCATAATTTTCGAGTTTCCCCTTTGGGCGTTGTGCCACAGAAAACACCTGGGGAATTTCGTCTAATCCACCATTTGTCTTTTCCTCAAGGGGCATCGATACATGACGGTATTTCATCTGAGCATACTGTGGTGTGTTACAGTCGAGTTGACGATGCAATTTCTATGATCAAAAAGCTAAGAAAAAGTTGTTTTCTTGCAAAAACAGATATCAAAAATGCATTTCATATCATTTCTATATGCCCCCAGGATTATGATCTTCTGGGAATTTTTTGGCAAGGAGAATTCTATTATGATCGTGCCATGCCGATGGGATGTGCATCATCCTGTCGGAGATTTGAAATGTTTAGCACTGCAATGGGTTGTCCAGAAACATTTGAACATTGCGCACCTTATCCACATTCTTGATGACTACCTAATGGCAGCTTCATCACATGACCAATGTTGCACTGACTTGAAGAATTTTTTATCACTTTGCGAGTATCTTGGTGTTTCGATTGCTCCGGAAAAGACTGTCGGTCCTCGAACCACTTTGCCATTTGCCGGTATTGAATTAGACACTATATTGTTTGAAGCACGTTTACCAGCGGATAAAATAACCAGCCTAAATCCAAAGCCCTCCTTTCGATGTTTCTACAGCGCAAGAAAGCTACTTTAAAGGAGGTACAGTCATTAATTGGCCTTCTTAATTTTGCTTGTTCTGTTGTTTCTGCGTCGTCTTATAGATTTGAGCAAAGACATATGGTGTGCGTCTCATTTTATCCGGCTTAGTAGATCTGTCAAAGCGGATTTGCGTATATTGAAATCATTTTTGGATGATTTCAATGGCCGATCGTTTTTTCTGGGGGATTTCTGGTCTAATTCTGTCCATTTAAATTTGTATATCGATTCTGCAGCTAGCTTGAGTTTTGGAGCTATATTTGGTCAGTTTTGGTGTTTCGATGAATGGCCTGAGCATTAGAAACATATAAATATTGTTATTTTGAAATTTTATCCCATTGTTTTGAATGTGCTCATGTGTCATTTGATGCGGGGCTGCGCATTGACAGCCGTCTTCCTATTACATTACCTTTTCTTCTGAATATCAACGAAGTCATCCCGTCTTTGTGTTCTATGTCTACAATGCCCTTTTATTTAAGGCCATGTGTACAACGGCATTTTTTGCATTTTTAAGGTTGGGGAAATTACTTACTGTCCCCGGTCTCCAGCGGTTCTTCAAGTAAAACAGGTGGTCAAGCTTGAGGTTCTGTCTGGCGCTATCGTTGGCCTTAAGGTTAAATTCGTTGATTTTAAGCATTCCTATAACCATCCGAGTATGGGGCGTTGGGAATCTGACGCATTCCGAAAGTACATTCGCATGTCAAACATAACTACGAGTAGTTTGAGAAGTTAATAATCTTATGCGAATAGGGATCGATATGGCTGCATAATTTGACCATGTAGCTGACGTATTATTTACCAGTGTTTTAAGTCGCACATTTCTATTTGATACGCGGTACTGGTATGGTTCTGTTTCCATGCCGTTTCGCTGACGCAGGGGCAAGGCGTATACGGTCGGTTCAGTTCCTTACTTTTACTAAATTGGCATTGCAAATAAAAACAATTTATTAAAATGTGCATTTCGATAGCGTTATCAGTTGATTTACCACCTACTTTGTTAGGTTTAGTTTGGCTCTTTGCAGTTCTGCTCGGGTGGGGGTGCCTCCTACCCAAGGAGGCTTGTGGCGGGAGAATGCCCCCACCTTTTCTGTGAGAACTGTTATTGTCATTTATGGAAATTAATATTCATTTTGGATTAATTAATAAATCGGCGTGTGCTCACGCACATAGCCATTATTTTCCCAAATGGGTGTAATTGTTTTATTGTTTTGTATCCACAGAAAACGGAGCTCGTCAGTACTGCAAAATTGCCGCTAAGGGGACTGCATGGGTAGTATTGTCCATTCAAGGGAAAGCGATAAAGGAACTATTTGTTCACCGAATAGTAATTTTATTGCTTTCCCTATTATATACATATATAGTTAGATTTACTATAGCTAATGAAATGATGACGTAACGCATGCAGCGAAATATTACGGGGAGAAGTTGCTACATTTGGGAATTTTACTCTGATGCTGCGTATAAAAGGCGCGAGTGTCAAGGTAAGGTTATTCTACCGAAGTCAGTCAGGATCAACACTTGTATACTTTCTTCCAAAGTCCCACCCTTCCCTCCCCTATTTTCTTTCGTTGCGTGTTGTTACCGATCACTTAATAGATTAGTTTTGTTCAAGGTGGCGGGAGAATGCCCCCACCTTTTCTGTGAGAACTGTTATTGTCATTTATGGAAATTAATATTCATTTTGGATTAATTAATAAATCGGCGTGTGCTCACGCACATAGCCATTATTTTCCCAAATGGGTGTAATTGTTTTATTGTTTTGTATCCACAGAAAACGGAGCTCGTCAGTACTGCAAAATTGCCGCTAAGGGGACTGCATGGGTAGTATTGTCCATTCAAGGGAAAGCGATAAATAAAGTTTATTATTATTATCCTTAGT